TTTTTTAATAGGCTCGCAAAATTTCTAAAATTTTTTACAGTGTTTTATTAAACTAATATCTAATAACTGGTAAAATTGCAATACTTTGTCGTTGTTTTGCAAGGGTTCATACAACCTTAATATGTAACGTGCTCGAAACACATAATCTCATAAATATTAATTTAGTCGCGTGTCGCCTTTTTAAACGATACACGTATGACATGGCACATCAGTATTATATCATTCAGATTTAAAGCAATAAAATTGGAATACGTTATTTCATAATTTTTCATCTAGAAATAAGCAAAACGATCCGATGAATAATTTCTTAATATTAGTTTATGAAAATTTTCTATCGCTCACTGAAATCGGTTTTTAAACCAAGAATTATATTTATTGCAGTGTTTATACTTCCGCGTATTAGTCGTATTTGCATTGGACGGTATAAATATTCACACGCGATACGAGCGACGATTATTCGATGTTATATCACGCTTTGATCTTCAATTAGCTTGAATTCGCAACGGAGAAAATTGTTTTCGAAAACGGCGACGAATGCGGTTAATTTTGTTGGATAATCAACGCGCGGATACACATACGGCTCTTTCACCTAATTTCGCGAATTAATGTAAATTCAGAATGGAAATGGTTCTCTAGAGCTAAAACGAAATGTGTATGAAATTAAATGATACACATGATAATTCGAGAGCTGATATTTAAAAATTGAAACTAAGTTGAGATTCAATCATTCTCACAAGTAAAGTATTAACAATTTAAATTAAAAGGCAGAATAAACAAATGAGAAAAGAACATTGAAACAGAGAGAATAGTGGAGTAGGAGACATTATTAATATTCATATGCTATACTTTACCAAGACAAACTTTCATGATTGTCATGAGTTGTAAAAATAAATTATACATGAAAAATGATAACAAAAATCATTGCGAAGTTAATACTGCAGAAACGATACGGGAGATTTAGTGTCAATGATCGTGGCAACGAAGTTTTCGTCGCGGCTAACGATTCTTTATCGATCCGACCGAAACGCAGAAAGTGGAGCAAGATTTGACCCAGCGATACTCGGGTAGAGGTCGAGGAATCGTCGTGAATCGGATGATCCGTTCAAGTAGATCGTGGGAGCCCGAAGCTAGATTCGAATCGAGACTGAGACTTCAACGTACATACTCACCTATGATTGTGTGCACCCTCACGGACAGCTGTGTCCTGAGAACGATCGAGTTCTTTCGGCTGTAACAGAGGAAATCAGTTTTTGAATTAACACACGTAGGAACGTGATGTGTTAAATAGTTCAAATCAAATTCGTTATAGGCATAATGATATAAAGTTTCTGAACTAATTGTTGATCAGGACTAATAATAATATCAATTTTAAATTAATATAGAAATCCGGACATGTCATCACAATATATAAATCAAAACGTATGCTTTATTAAACATTTTTATGCAAAATAAAATATTTGTATTACCAGTTTAGAAAATTAAGTACAAATGGGAATTCAAAAATAATAATACGCATTTTGGTACTCTATGTGTCTCTGTAATTCGATTATACATGCTTCATATTTTCTATAAATACAACTTCTCCGTAATTTAAGTATGTTCTTTATTTTGTAAAATGGTGAATCGCAATTAAATTCATTACAAAGAATGGACGGTAATTGGATCGATCAAGGCTGGTAAGACTGATAATAATTACTTAATTAGGGATGGGTGAGCGTTTGCAACGCGTGGAGTGACACGAATTAAGTTAGACCGGAGCCTAGTTTGCGCGCGCGCACCTCGGCTGGCCCGCGCGGCGAACTTTAAATCGCTCGCTCGCTCCCCACGCCATGCGTCCCTGAGAAACTATGGCTACCGCGTGCACAATGGATTTCAGAGGTGAAGCAGTAGAAGTAGTAGAAGGAGAAGAAGAGGGTACAGGAGGAGAAGACACCGGCGCAGCGGCGGCGTATGCGAGCGTCAAACACATCCGGGGCAAAACGTCGGCTAGGTACGCGCGCGTTAATAATGTTTCCGCTCGTTAAAACGAGTGAGACGGTGCGCGATTACGCGTTTTGGTTTTCCCACACGCGTACATTCTACGCGTACGGGGGAGGGGGTAGAGAGACAGGAGGCACCATGACCGTGTGCAAATGCGCTGCCGTTTGCGGAACAGGCTCGTTGCGATTCCAACAGTACGAGGTTCAAGATCGATCCGCGATTAAACGCGATTGTGTGCGTCGACTTCATGAAAATTTCAAACCACGATGAGAAATCGTTCTTGCATTGTTGGTGGCGTTCACATTGTTGTAACGGACGATCAACCCCCTTCTAATCCCATGGGTCGATCTCTCCAATCAAATGCTACGCGACTTTTCAACGAAATTCTTCCATTTTTAATTTCAAGATTAATTAAAGTTTTAATCGAATCTCCGTTCCCGAATTTCTTTGAATAAAAATAAGATACTTATTTTTATCCATGTATATTATTTTCATTTCATTAACGTGAATGTTTCAAGCCATTTAATGGATCCATTAGAATTCGTAAATGATTTAGAGTGAAACGATTAATCGTTTAATTGCCACATTTTTAATCTATTGATTATTTAACAGTAACAGTCATTAAAATCGTGGAAGAATTTAAAGAAAGAATGAGCAATTCGTTGGATCGCAATTGAAAAACGCAGCCTTTAAATGATCTCGGAAATGCATAAATGGAGTGAGAGATTCGATCCTGGTTGCCTGGGGGCTCCGTAAGCAAATCATTTCTATGTGAATCGGGGGAGAAAAGAACCCGTGGAACGGCTCGCCGGGATTCCCTTAAGAGAGCCGAAAGAGGCGAGACACGAAGGTTGCTCGAATAAATTAAAAAGTTCCCGGCACGGGGCCAAGTTCATTGCCAACGCAACCCGGCGTCGCCGTTTGTACTGACTCCGCGTAAACAGACCACGATTGTCGTTTCTTCCTCTTTTCCTTTGCATTCAATTCTCGGTTCCCGCACAATTGCCGCGTATTGTTTCACGGTAATTGGCCGACAAGGGATGTCAACGGAGCGGACGTGCACGCGCCGTTCTACGCTTAAATCTAGAATCTCAATTTCGCGGCAATCAAGACGGAAATTTCGAAAGTAATTCAAAAGCCCCGTCGCAGAAGGAATCGGATTAAATTCATTAACGCAAGCAGTAATTCCTGAAGTGCTGAAGATTAAATTGACCGACAGTCCAATATATTAATTATAATTATACATTTGGGATTTAGATGTTCATTACTGATTTATCATGTTCTTAGAATTCAGTTTACGCAATCTTTTCACAATAAAGTGAAAATTAACAAAAGTTTCTTTTTAGATAATTTTAAGATAATTTTAAGTAAATAACGTATAGAGTCGTAGAATATTGTTTCTTGACGTTTTCATGGTTTCGCGATATCAAAATGAGAAAATGACGAAATGAACAAACACAAACAAAATTATTTTCATCAGGAATGCTTTAATCATTTCATGTTACTCCTCATGTGTACATTGTTAAATAAAGAGATACCACTTTTCTGATGGAATAACGACATTATTACTTACGAGTGTAAAGATTCTTAAATACCCTTTTAGCTAGGATCGTTCTACGTTCATAGTTCCCGAACGATCTCATTAACCATCTCATTTTCTCCGAAACTCTATCTGAGATCCCTTCCAGCGGAACGTATCACGAAAATTTGTCTGTTGGAACCCCGCCGTGCCACGTCTGTTCTCGTTAGTCTTTGAACTTTGATTATAATCGACGATATCAAGAGCACGCGAGTTCTAAAGTCTTATTTAAATTCAAAATGAAGCTCCTATGCGAAATTAATGATAACCCATCATATTAAATTAGTAGTTAGGTTTAGTAATTCAATCCAGAAACGATTGTTATAAAATCATGAACAATTGTTTACACATACATATATTAATAAATATATGTAAAATTATTTATCTAAAACATGCATAGAAATATTAATAATCTCGACGATAATTTCTTGTAAGGATGTAGCTTTTTTATTGCACATACACATACTGTATTCCCTCGCCACTGTCAAAATCCTTAATAAAAAATATCAATCGATTCGCAGCGATCCTTTCCCGAATGGACCCGGTGATCCCGGAAAAACAAGCCGGTCTGTGACGCGAGCTCTCCTCCTTCGACTCGAAGCTACATATAAATGCGATATCGTTCGCTGGAAAGCGTGACACAGCTTGCGCAGAGTGCACTCACGGGAGTGAAAAATCGAGCACAGGGGTATCGTTTCCTAGCAAATGGAATGCAAAATTCTGGACGCGGAGCTGACGCTCGACGCTCGTGGGAACTCCGGTGTAGGTAAGCATGGGCGACGAAAGGATTTCCAATCTCCTTTAATGGCGCATTAATCGTGATTCTGGAGAACGGGAACTCAGAAACCGGACCGGGGCGAGGGGAAAAACGATGCCAGGGACAAAAAGACGGAGGGAGGTAATCGGAGAGACAGGGGTTGCAAAAAGAGGGCGGAGGGGAGCCGAGGTTCGACGCGATAACCCCGGCTCGAAGCGGTTTTCAATTGACGACGGGGCGACCGATAGTCTGCGAAGTTTCCACCGAGTACCGATTATCGATACTCTCTCCCTTTCGCGTCGAAAGGCAACCAAGCTATCGCGTTGTAGCTTTGCAGAGCGCCAATTTTTCTCCAGCGTTATCAAGTGGCGTTAAATAGACGCGGCCGCGTGTCTTTTACGCGTTAGAGCCGCGAGACCCACAAATGAGATTGACATTCCCAGTATGTATTACTTTTTCGTTAAGAAAAGTATTGTGCATGTTTTTGCTAAAAAAAAAAAAATAGAAGATGTTGCTCTTTGTAAAAAAATTTTGGTAAATTTGTATATTTTCTTGGAATTTTCACTTTAGAAAATTGTAAACATAAATATGGTGATCTAGCATGTTTTATAATTTTTTTGTTGCTTTCTTTTACACATGCAATTTAGAAGCAAACAGTGCCATAGCATAAATTTCAATTTGCCCTAATCTGTAACTTGAAAATCTTACTTATGTTGGATGGGGAACGAACTGTTAAACATGGTTTTACTTAAGAATTTAATTAGCAAACTGTGAGTAAATAAGCTCTTTTCTCCATAATTAATATTCCAAACAAGGATCCCAAGATAGTATTATGATAATCTACTATTCTCTATTAATAATGATGTCAATTTTACAATTACAATGTGCATGGAAAGTATAATACGTATAGTGTAATAATTCATTCTAGTCTCAAACTAATTGATACAAAATGCACATAGTATCTGAAATTCATTTTCTAAGAATTTCGTCAAAACACGAATCGGGAAGATAACTGTAATTCTGAAAGTTAACTGAAATTCAATATAAAATACTATTTTCATAAACCATCTTTGAATTATTCAGTCGTTTTTATATTACTATGTACATCCAGTCTATTATCAATTATTATATGTATAATCGAATGCACTGTCTTATCATTTTCCTAATCGATTTTCCACTTTTTAGCTGATCTCATCTCAATCAATCGACCCAAATTTTGAAATATCACTAGTTGATCAATCATAAAGTTTCCCATCATTTTCTATTAAGTCATCGATTAATAATCGTCTTCGATGAATCATTAATGAAGTAATTGGAAAGCCATGCAAGTATGGCCAACGTGTAAACAAATTTAGGCGATATGTCGATTACTCAGCTATCATTAATTCAACTAGTCAACCGGTAATTATGATTGTCATTAAAAATGGCAAGCTGTCAAACCGCAGGTAAATGTAAACTGCACCGAAGGGGCACCGCGACGTCCGGAATTACGATGAGCGATCGGAACTTTCAAGGATCGAAGGCTAATTGGCTTACCGGAAACTGTAATGTAACTACTCGAAACTTATCGAACGGCGGAGCAATGTGCAGCGAAACGCCGCTGCGCCGATATTCTAACATTTATTCTGCATAAGTTTCAAGCCCCCTTGTTACCGTTTCAAATCGATAGCTTTTCGAAAATCTTATTTATAACATTGCTCAGCAAACATTTTCATACCCAACTAATTGAAATTTTACCTAAATAACGTTGCACAGTATGTAATCTAAATAACAATTAGTGTCTTAATATTAATTATAACCTTTCTAAAGTAAATTGGTTTTGAATTATAGTTGCGTTCTTAAAGTTGTATTCTCGATCCATTCAGTCGAAGTTCAAGTATCTTTGATTTAAGCCCGAATCCGAATATTTGGG